ATGCCTTATCAACTACATCGTTTAATTTTCCGTTCCCTGCTTTCTCTTTCGCTGTCTTTCTGCACAGGCGTGACTGCTGTAACCTGATTACAGAGCCGCTTGTAGCCCGCAGGACAGCGGTGTCACTGCGCTGCCCCAGCTGTCCTGGCAGAGCTGGGAGCGGACTCACTTTAATCCCCCATTCGTGGCTTCTGTCATCCAGAGCAGGGGTGATGGCTGTGTGGCAAACATCAAAAGGTACAATCAAGGGGAATGGTCCATTGAAATATTTCTTCTCCTAGTAAGATTAAAGAAAATATAGTTTCTTAAAAACTGAATCCATTGTGACAATACTAGTAAATTACATGAATGTGAAATTCTTCAAAATGAGAACTACACAAAAACTGACAATTGTACCGTACTGATGTCTCACTCTTGGAGAACCAGCCGAGTTTGACTCTCAAAACTGCTCTTTGACTAAAAGACAGGTCATGAAACTAAGACCATGTGAAAAGACATAAGCACTGCACTAAATTTCCCCAATGACCAAACTCAGATAATTTTCAAAAGAGAAGATGCACAGCAATTCTCATGGCCCTGATCTAAATCTTGAAGGCATGGGAGACTGATACTGGGCGCCCGCTCCCCAGAAAGTTGTCCATGTGTGCTATCCATTCTAGAATTAGTCACTGAGGACCCTTCGTGTAGGCAGGGACGATGAAAGAGCTGACATAGGGAATCAGTACACTGTCACCTGCTTTTAAAATGATGCATTTCATCAGTGGAGAACTGGTGAGAATATTTTCTTTTCTCTTCATGTTTCTTTAGGAAAGAATTTTAAATCATCTGAAAGCTATTTTGAGTGATTTAACCTCATTGTTTGCCCAATGTGCTCTCTGTGAAAGCCTGAGAGAATGTTTTCTCTCCATGTGGCTCTCCTTAGGCACACTCTACATCATCGATCACTTTCCTCTTTGGCCCCATAATCTCCTTGATCAGAAAATTGATTGGTGCAACTTTTTTGTTCTGTTTTGTTTTTGTAGTACCAGGGATTGAGCTCAGGACCTTTGCCTGCCAGGCAGGCGTTCATGTCACTGAGCTATATACCCAGCCTACAGGTGTAATTAATGTTCCTTTCTTTCATCCTTGCTCCCCCTCTTTTTAAACGTCTGCTTACTTTATTTATTTTTAGTGTGATTTATTTTCTCTTTTGTTAAACATCTATTCAATACCTCCTTAGGTGAAATTTAGTCAATTTCTTTCTAACAAATTATAGCATTTTATTGACTATTGCCCACACTGATTCTTGAATGCTTGCTAACAACTACTTCTTTAAGTTATGATATAAAATACATCCACACTGGCACAACCTCATTGTGTCCTCAATTTTGTACTCCTATTTCTCATAGGAAAAACTACTACATAAATATTGAATAGTAAGTACAAACTCCACTGCAAGGAGAAATGTGAGTGTTGTATCACTTTTCAAGATCCTGTGAACAAAGTTTATTTACTTAAAAAAAAATAAGAATTGGGGCTGGAGAGATAGCTAGCAGTGTAAGTGCCTGCCTGGTAGGTGCAAGGACCTGAGTTTGGTCCCTTGCACTGCATGTCATGCCAGCCTAAGCACTACATGCCATCTCAGTCCCTTCTGGGCACACAGTACTGGAACTGAAACTAGGCTTCCTGGCGCAAGCCTGTAACACCAGCTGTAGGGTGGCTGAAGCAGGAGGATCACCACAGTCCCCGACGTCAGGCAGACCCTGCACAGATTACCTAAACAAACAAACAAAAGAATAAGAACCACATTTACCTCTTTTTTCATTACTCTTATAATTTCATTATTTTCATGTACATTTTCTAACATCCCATTTCCCTTCTTCCTCACGCTGTGTTAAATTTCATTTTCTCTGTTTGTGTCAAATGCCATGATGTATATGCATCTATATTTGTCAATTTAGTGTGTTCTTTCCTGGGATTCCATATTAATTTTACTTTATTTGACAAAACGATAGCTACTAAGATTTCTTTTTAATAGCATTTTAATCTACACATCTGCATATTGTGAGTTTCACCATATAATCAAACAAAATATTTATCCTGACACATTTAGTCAAAAAACAGTAAAAAATATTTTAGTACATTAGAAGTAGTAGATTGAGATTAAGTCTGCAGAAAATTTCTAAGAGTAGTATTAAGCAAAGGTGGAGAAATTTGAAGGTGTTTGCGAGGAAGTTTGGGAAGTTAGAAGATAGCTGTGATGAAAAAGGAAGACTTCAACATCTTTGATGTGACTTTAAATGACTACAACCGTTAGGGAAGACGTGTGGATACTCTTCAAAGCTCTAAGTACAGAAATTCCACTTCCCACAGCCGATGTCTATCTAGTTATCTTCCCAAAAGAGATGAAGCAGCATGCTTTGGTCATACAGGCACCCGTGAATATGACAGCATAGTTGATTCATAGCAACTAACTCTTGTTACCAGTATTTAGGTGGATGAAAGAAGAAAATGAAATATCTGTCCGGAATGAAATGAAACTCAATCCTAAGGTAAGATTATTTTTTTACATGCTGCAGGGAAAAGGAATACACCTTATAAAGACAATGTTAATTGAAATAAGTGAGAAACACAAGCTCAAACACCTTACTGCAGTTATCTAATGTACAGAGAAAGAGCAAAAAAGGCTGATGAGAAGAATAAAATGACAGATCTTTGGTAAATGATTAGGGGCCTAGAGATGGATAGACATGGGACAAAGGAGGGGAAAGAGACATAAGAAAAGTTAATCTGCATCCTGGAAGGGGACAAATAGAGCTCAGTGTGTGAGCTTTATTGGGGCAAGACAAGCATATTTACAGCAACATGGCATAAAAAGGGTGACATACTTATGTCTGATAAAACAAACAAATAATTTGAAGACTAAACTATACAGTAAAATAAATACTGTCAAATTCGTATTTTGTTTAGTGAAATCATATATTTTTAATTTTTATTACTGTTTTCAATTCTGCTTAAAAATAAAAGCAGAGAAGGTTTCTGGACACAGAGGTAAGCGGAAGAGACCACTGAGAAAGGTTAGGAAAATCTCTGATGCCTGTTGAGCGCAGGACCCTTCCCTGTGCTGAGCAGGAGCGCTGCGCCTGCAGCCGCACTCTAAGGACCCACAGGGAGGCAGGTGTGGGGAGCGGGAATTACAGCAGCAAGAGAAGAGTTTAACCAAGGCATGGCGCGCAGTGTGCACACACCGGGAGGCGCTCCCTGTGGAGGCCTCTGTCGGCCTAAGCTCTAGTCTCTTCATTACCACATCACTGACCTACAGTTCAAAGCAACAAATTTTCCAGATAATTTCTTGAAAGAAAGAGTGAATTGTCTCCACAAATCTCATGGCCTTTCTGTTGTGCTTACGGGCACCTACTTGGGAAATCGTAAAATAACGTTTTCCAGCATAATGAGGTTTCCAAAAGCTCTCCGTTTTGGCTTTTCCCTCTGGCATGAAATGAGTTTAGGTTAGTTCGATTTGATCCCCCGGCCTCACCGCAAAGCTAGCCACATTTCTTGGATGTCTGCAGCGCATTCTGTGAAGAGGACTGAGCTGTGTCCCTGCACGCAAGAGCAGGAAACCCGTGCTCCTGCTGTGTCCTGAATAAAGGGGTGTGTATTCACTCTTTATTTTGTGAAAATTATACTAAATGTGCTTTAACTCATAAGATTTTTTAAAAATATTAAAATCATTTTCTTTGACAAACAGATTCCATGAAACTTTCTTACAATTCTTGTTCAGGATTATTACATTATTTTACTTGATCAGATATATTATTGGAAATTTGGAGGATACGGTTTCCAATTTTAATTTTTGAGCAACTCAATTTTTTTGAAATCTCCCTTTTAGACAGGGCAAAGGGGATGTACTTACATATTCATTCATGAGTGATTTACTGAAGTAGAACATGACGTGAGCCTCAGGGATCAAGGGTAGAATCTGCTTTCCATAGTTCTGGATGCGTTTCTGGTCGCAGACACTGGAGGCCACGTCCTCAAACAGGAGCAGGCTTGACATGAGCAGCAGCAGCAGGACCAGCCCTGCGTGAGCCAAAACACAAGGCACTCAGAGATGCTCTATTAGGAATGGTTATGAGCATCCATCCTGGAGAGGAAACTTGGTCTCTCCTTGAGTCCTAGGATGCATGAAGTAGGGCAGCAACAGCTCCTTGTGCTGTGCACATTTAAAATAAAGTCATAACTGTAGAGAAACACCGTGAGGAAGTTGCGTGGTTCCAGGACATTTTATTCCTCTGAGGAAGTGCCTCTCTCACAGCTGAGAGCCCCAGACTCTGATTTTCCACCTGCTGGAGAGTGTGGTGGGGCTAGGCCACCAGCTGACTTCCTGAGCACTGCTTTAGTGCCAGCCAGCACAGCAGTGACCAGCAGCTTCGCGTGTAAACTGCTGGCGTCCAGCACCGTCTGGTGGCACCAGCACCTCTAGGTGGGCTGCACTGTGCCAAACCATGATTTCCCTCTGAATCATGCAAAAGTTGTGCTCAGGGAACTTTACGTCATTCGCTTAAGTGTTATGGTTCTCATGAGCTTTCCTGCAAATATTAAGCAGTGCGATTCTCTGAGGCATTATAATTTATGTTCCACAATTGGAGAGTTGGATTTTGGAAGCTGATATGCCTAGAATGCCATAGTGTATATGTTTTCTTTGTCTCCTTTTTTGATAAAATATAAGCATAAAATTCCATCTTGGTTGCACTGTGAAGGAAACCCTATCAGCAAGACAGTGCCATGACTGGGAACTGCTCACTCAGCACCATCAACTTCATTTCTGTGACCCTTTCTGAGAACTTTAAATGTTTTTCTACATTC